GAAAAAGCCTCAATTGTCTTAAACAGACAGTAAGTAGAAATCTGGACTTGGAGGATGCTTCCAGCAAAGGCACAGAAGGAAGTGAGGAACACGTTATTAGAACCTGGAGGAAGAAACATCCTTGTTATGTAGTGGCAGCAACTTAGCGACACTGTCATCTGTGGCATGTGGAAGGCAGAACACGTGATTAATGAGCTGGGTGATCTAGTGAAGGAGATTTCCAAGGAAAGTATTGAAGGTGGCCCCTGGTATCTTCTTGCTGCTTGAAGTGAAGAGGAGAGAGAGAAATTGCAGGAAGGACTATTAAGCACCAAGGAGGCAGGACTCAATGGTTTTGGAAATTCTCAACCTCTCCAGATGCCAAAGGCGTTAAAATTAGGAAATGGCTTCAGAGCGGCGAGGAAAACGTAGCCAAAGGCATGACTGTGCAACCTTTTGTTAAAACTTTAGAAAGATGAAAGGATCAGAGTATTATTCAGTCACATGAAGGGCCTTTAAAGAGCTAAGGATATGCTTGCAGATGCTCTTAATGGAATGACAGGGCCTCTAGGAAGCTGAAGGGTGTGTCTCTCAACAGAAGCCCCAGTGTCTAGTGGAGTGAACTCCTATAATTTTTGAGAAAACTCTATCAGCAAAAGTACTACCAGCTTGGAGTGAAAGGGACAGAGACACTACAAAATGACAGACACAGTACCAGTGGACTCCCAAATTCTACTGGAAGAAAATAATCTGAGAGAACTACTCAGCTGCAAACACATGCTACCTTTGGTTTAAAATAAAATAAAAATACTTAGAGAGTGGAAGCAAGGGTTCATAAGTCAGAGCTGAGAGCCACGGAGAATTATTTCCAGGCCTTGAAACCAAATCAAGGAAAGTCCAACACTTGCCTGGCTGGATTTCAGAATTGCTATGGACCAGTGGCTCCTTCCTGTCTGCATTTTCCTCAGTTTGGAATAGGAATGTCTACAGCTCTTATCCCATGTCAGCCACACCGTTGTATGTGGGGTGTCTTCAGGGCAGAGAGCTTAGTTTCACAGATCTACTGATTCTCTAGTTGAGCTTTGAGACGACTGACACCCCAGGCAGCTCCTCGCTGTGAGAGTCCCTGAGACAGAGGACACACTGAAGCGGCATCGGTACTCCTGACCCATAGGAACCGTGAGACAATAGATGTCGTTCTTAAGCCACTAAGTTTGGGGGTGATTTGTTACGCAGCAAGAGATAACTAATACAGCTCATATGTTAAGTGTTCTAACATCTGGTAGATTAGTCTATCCTCACAAGGACTCAGGTGTTCAGAGAAAGTACTAACTCTCCCTCTTTCACAGATGGAGAAACTGAGGCTCAGAAAAGAAATAGGACCTCCCCAACTGGTGCTGAAACCAAGCCCCACATCTTGTATCTCCTTCAAGTGAGCTTTCTGCTCCTGTCCCCATTCCCCACCCCCAGTCCAGAGCAGCCTGGACTGGCCTGAACAGACGTGTGGACTCACTGCCAGTTTCTGACCTGGAGACAAAGGTCCTGAGAGACGTCAGTCAGGGAGGGAGGGAAAGGAGGTCCAGCTACAGTCTGGGTACTCTTCGCTCACAAGCAACTCTGAGTGGGGAGAGGGCAGATGAAATCCCGTGTCCTGGCGGACCCCTGGCCCACCTCACACGTCTCTGCCTCACCCCTCCACTCTCTTTCATAACTTCAGAAAACCCGTGAACCACTCTGGCGTGTGCTGAAGCCCAGGAACGCAGATCCACACTGCAGAACCGCGGGTGGAGACCACTGGGTGGTTGCTAGGAGCAGCCCTCCCCCTCTGTTCATTGGAATCGCCATGGCAATCACGATACAAAGGGCTCTGTTACCTCAGGGCTGATAGGCCCACCAGCCAAAGGAACAGAGGCCAGCGCAAGCCAGCACTGAGGGGGCAAGAGGGGCCTTCAGGTGTTGTTCACTCTCTCATCCACTCAAAATGTCCCCTGGCCACTCACCCCGTCCCAGGCTGTGTGCCAGACCCAGAGGGCTCAGATGCCATCAAGTGGGAAGGAAGTGCTTGGGATTACAAAGGATTAAGTAAAGAGAGTGATTAGTTCTGTGTAGGGAAAAGGAGGCAGAGCTCACGGAAGGGCCATTTGAGCTGGCTTTTGAAGGATGTGTAGGAGTTTAACAGTTTAGAAGGGACTCAAATATTAAAGGCATGGATGTGTTTATGGGTATAAATATAGGTCAAGGGGAGTGGGGAGGGGAGGGAAAGATGCACCTGGAGCCGTCCCCAGAGTCTGGGCCTGCCACTTATTAGAAGAGTGACTTTGGCCACGTTCTTTAGCTGAACTTTCCTCATATGTGAAACAGATATAACCCATCTCCCAGGGTAAGAGTGAGGATTGGATGGAGTCATTTTTGTGAAATGCCTAGCACAGAGAGATGTCACCTGTAACTCCAAGCTGACCCCATAAGTGACCCATCAGCAAGTCCTTAAAGTACCCTAGACTGGACCCCTTCATCCACCTCCACATCTCCCCCAGCGCCTGGTCCAAACCACTGCCACGTCTTGCCTGGGTTAACACACTCGCCTCCTCACTGGTCTCCTGTTTTTGCTCTCTCCTCTCTGTTGCTGCATAACAGTACTGCCACACACTTAGTAGTTTAACACACAGTTGTTACCACACAGTTTCTGTGAGTATGGCTTAGCTGGATTCTCCGCTTTGGGGCCACAGAAGGCTGTAATCCCGGGGTTGCTGGTGCTGCACTCTCTGAGGCTCGACGGGGAAGGGACCTGCTTCCAAGCTCCTGTGGTTGCTGGCAGGACGCGGCTCCTCATGGTCTGCTGGACAGAGGGCCTCAGTTTCTCACTGGCTGTCAGCCAGAGGCCACCCACACAAGACGGGCGTTACAATCTTGTGTATTGTAATCACAGAAGTGTCGTCTACTACGGACTGAATGTCTGTGCCCCCCTCAAAATTCATATGCTGAAGCTCCAACCCCCAAAGGGATGGTATTTGGAGGTGGGGCCTTTGGGGGGCAATTAGGTTTAGATGAGGTCATGAGGGTGAGGTTTCCATGACGGGATTTGTGTCCTCATAAGGAGAGAAAGAGGGACCAGAGCTCTCTCTCTCTCTCTTCATCGTGTGAGGACACAGTGAGAAGGCAGCTGTCTGTAAGCTAGGAAGAGAGCTCTCGCTGGAACCAAATCTGCTGGCACTTTGATCTCGGACATTCCGGCCTCCAGGACTCTAGAACTTAACACGTCATTTAAGCCACTCATCTTGTTACAGCAGCCTGAGGTAAGACAGCATCCCATCACCTCTGCCACATTTTGTTGGTTAAAAGCAAGTCGCAGGTCCCATCCACACTCAAGGGAGGGGACCACACAGGGTGTGGACGTCAAGAAGTGGATATCATGGGGATTGCCCTGGAGTCTGTCCATCAAATCCCCTTACAGTCTTTGCTCACCTCAGCAGCCAAGTGACCCTGTTAAACCTATGTTGGACCATGTCACCCCTCAAATCAAAACTTTCCAGTAGCTTCCCACCTCAACCAGAGTAAACCTGAAGTCCCTCCATTTATCTGCAAGGCCCTGCTGACACACCGCCCCCTTCCCTGACCTCAGCTCCTCCCACTCTCCTGATGGCTCTTTTGGCCCCAGCCACGCTGGCCTCCTCTGTTTCATGACCACAACAAGCACAGTCCTGCCTCAGGGCCTTTGCGTGGCTGTTCCCTCTGCTGCAACTTTCCTTCCCCATGACTTGCCTTTTCACCTCCTTCAGGACTCTGCTCACCTTCACAGACCATACTTTATAAAAGCATCCTAACCCACCCCTCGCTCTTCATTCCCTGGTCTTTCCTCCTGTAGTACTTGTCACCACCTGACACACTAGATACGCATTTATTCTTTCCTCCAGTAGGACGCAAACCACATGTGAGAAGGGAGGTGACTTGTGTTCACTGCCGTGTCCCCAACACCTGGGCCCAACTCACAGCAGGTGCTCGATAAACAAAGGTGCTGACTGAAGGAGCTCTGGGATTGGAGGAGCAGGAAGAGGAGGAGGAGGGGTCGTCATCACCCTGAGGCTGGCCCTTTGGCCCCTCAAAGCTCCAACAGGGGACCTAAAGCTGGCATGAGGACTGCATGGAGGGGAGAGGGGACAGCTGTCCAGACTGCTCTAGCCCTCTTCCACTGAAGACCCCACGGGCCATCAGCCCCCCACCCAAGCCGCCAGCCCCTAAGCCAGCCTCCTCAGCATTTACTGAGCCCCTAATTGCCCTGATGCCAGGCTAGAGGCTGGGGCACAGCACCGCCAGACTTGGCCCCTGCCATCCAGGACCCTGTCTTCACCCAGGAAGGCTGGACAGCGGGGAGCAGGGAATGCCAGTAGGTGGGGCCTGGAATCGTCTTGCAGCCCCAAAGGAGGGTTTAGAGAGCCTGTTTCTGGGAAACTTGAAGTCCAGCCACGTGGGCCCAGTCTACCAGCTTACTTTCTTCTACTGTGGCTTCCTCGTTCACACAGCCAGAGCTCTAAGACCTTCCCCGGGGGCTGAAGCTGCATCTCCAGCCCCTCCCTGCATCGGTCCCCAGAGGGGCTTATTCTGAGCCAGGAAGGGCACCCAACACGGAGGCCACCTTCCTTTGGCCTGCTTCTGAAAGGCCCCCGGGCCTGCGCTCTGTGACACCTCTTTGAACACGCATTTGGAAGACCAGCTGCCCCCTGTCCTATTCCCCCCACCCAGAGGGCTGCGCCTACCGCAGAGGGCTCGGTGCCTGGCTACCCTTGGTTTCACCTCTCTCTGGCTTCCCCGGCCCCCTTCCAGGTAGCTCCCAGCACGCTCCTCCTGACATGGGACAACAGGTGGCTTCCTTTGTCATAACTAAATAATCAAGTGGTGTCCACAGTGCAGCTTCTCCAGCTGGGGGTTACTACAGAGGTTTCTTCCCTCGGTAGGTTCTAAGGAATCAGAAGACGACGGAAGTATGGGGCAAGGATGGACCCAGGGAGAGGCAGACAGACACAGCCCCTCAGAAAAGGCCGATTTTATTCCAGTGCTGCTGGGAAAAGGGGGGCTTTACACAGCAATTCTAAAACTTGTCACCCTCCTCTGCTGAAGAGGTGTGAACCAGCTGCAGGTCACGCCGGGGGCACTACGCCGGCGGGAGTGGGGGCGAGCGGAGGAGAGCTGACTGCTCAGGCCTTCCCACCCTTCCACTGGGACACACGGGTCTCTGGGGGCGCCCGGCGGAACCACTCGGACCAGGAGCCATCATAGACGGCCACGTCGGGCTTGCCGCAGAGGTAGGCGGCCAGGGCAATGTGGCAGGCGGTGACACCCTTCCGGCAGGTGGCGATGAGGGGCTGCTCGAGGTCTACCTTCTTGGCCTCGAACATAGCACGGAGCTCCTCTGGACTCTTCTCGAAGCCGTCCTCCGTCAGGAAGTCCATGAACGGCATGTTGACCGAGCCTCGGATGTGGCCCGGGTCCAGTCCTGGGCGAGGGCAGAGGACAAAGGGCAGGACAGGGTTAGGAAGGGCACGCGGGTGTGGGCGACCGGGGCCTGGAGGGAGCTTCGCAAATAACAAGAACGTCTGTGCCCTTCTCGGAGCTCCATGTATTCCCGGCCCTACCTACATTCAGTGCTCACGACTTCAGACAAAGTGTCCCCTCCCCCAAAACCGGCCTTGAAGTAGGACTGTCCAAAATCACAGCTGCTTGAGAGGACAGGGCAGGAGCCTCAGCTCTACCATTTACTGACCTGTCTACTAACATTTACCCTAGGCAAATCGCTTCACCTCTGACCTCAGTGTTCTCATCTGTACAATGGGCTCCGTGGTGCACACCTATCTCACAGGGTTGTTGAGAAGAGGAAATGAGACGATTAACGCCAATACTCTGTGTTGTGCCCACTGCTGAGAAGGCAGGGGTGAAAGGGAGACACAGCCCAGGCTCGCAGGGGGTTCCAGTCCAGCAAGGAAGACAGGTGTGAAACAGACAACCACGTAATTCATTACATATAATGTTGCTCCATTTCACAGATGAATACACTGAGGCTCGGCAGAAGGAAACGGCTCACCTAAGGCCACACGGAGAGGCAAAGACAGACCCAGGATCACACCAAGTCCCCTGATTGTCCGGTTAAGCACACAGTTGTGAAAGAGCATGTGGCCTGGTGTTAGAAGACAGACGTTCAAATCCCAGCCCTGCCACTTACCAGCAGGGTGACCTATAGCAAGTCACATCACCTCTCAGAGCCTGTTTCCCCCTGGCTAAAATGGAGTAGCCATGCGTGTCAGAGCTGCGTAAGAGGCAGAGCACCGAGTCCTGAGGCCACCCCCCCCCCACGCTCAATGCTGTTGCCCCCACCACTCCACCACCTACCCTGGGGGGCAGGTGAGAATGGGGGCAGTGTGGGCCCTTCAGGCCCCTCCTAGCAACCCTGAGAGGCTTGGATGGAAGCGGAATAGGGGTCTGGGCTGGCTCAGTGTGCAGCCAGGCAGGCCCCGCACCTGTGAGCCTCAGTTTCCCCATCTGTGAAATGGGGAGATAACCCCCCCTACCTCACAGGCCTGTAGGGAAGTTAGCCACTGAAGGGAAAAGCCCCTAATGACCCTGGGGACACTGTAGATGCGCAATCATGCCAGCAATGTCCCTCTCCCCTCACCCCAAATTCAAAGAGGATTCCGAAATTCACTGGCATGACTCGAGTTCCTTTGATGGAACAGACGTCCCAACTTATAAAATTATAGCAATTTCTCCAAATCCTGTTGGGATTTCATCTTTTTGTCTGGAAACTTTTATCTGAGACCAGATGTGTGCTGACCCTACCAATGAGGAACAATTGATCTGTTGCCTTCAAGGGTGTTCTTTGCCAAGAAGCCCAGCCTTAAACTGTTTTGGCATCCAGCAGTGCGCTGGATTTAAGTGCATTTAAAAGCACAAGGGTTTGCTGAGTTCTGAATGCTGTTCTGTTTCTTTCCCCCCATCCCCGATGAAACAGCTCATCTGATTACATCAAAGGCACCTCTTCTGAGGGAAGAAGTCAGGGGTCTCTGCAGACTCCGGCCTTCCACACTGGGCCAGCATCGGGAGGTGGAGCCCTCCTGTTCACCCAGCGAGGGCTCGGGGCCTGTCTGAAGAATTTAAATGAGCAGAAACTGACCGCCTGTGCGCGGGGCGGGCCTGGATGAACCTGGCCTGGAGAACCTTGGAGAAGAGCCACTGGAGGAAAGACACAACGGGCCAGAAGCAGAGGCTCCTGCTACTCCTCCCCCAAGCCCAGCTTCAGCTGCAAGCTCGCGGCTTTCCCTCCCCCAGCAGGTGTGCCACTGTGCTCATAACCTCTGGCACCAGGCACCCAGACAATGGGTCATCTCAAGAACTTGATCTTCCTCAATCCTCATAAAGCCACGGAGATTCTCCTCCTGGCACTAATGGGGAGCCCAGGCTCAGAGAGGTGAGGTAACTTGCCCCAGGACACACAGCATAGGTGTGTGAAGTGAAGTCAGGTCTGTCTGACCCCGAGGACTGTGTTCTTTGGCCCCCCTGAGCCTTCGTGGGAAAGGGGGCTGAGGCCGGGGATGGATCAGATGACCTCTCCTGTTCCTCAACTGCTCAGAGGTCTGGGACTTTGTGTTCCAGCTTTGGCCAAGTAGATGCCAGTCAAGTTGGCGAGTTAACATCCCTGAGGTCACTAACAGGTGGGGTCTACAAGTAAGGCCAGGAAAATCTGTTTCCTGCTTTCCTCCTAAAGACACCAGGGAATCCAGTGCAGGTGGCCCCAGTGGGCAGCCCCCAACCCCGGCCCCTGGAGGCAGCTCGCACTCTGCTGCTCCACTCCTACCCCCACCCCAAGCCCTGGGAGGAAGAGACAGGCAGAGCGGCCACATGACCCCAGGAGTCAACACCAAGGCCGTGGAGCTGTGACCCTTCCCCAGGCCCCGTGTTTGCTCACAACAGTGGCCTTGAGAAACAGCCCCACTTTGATGCCAGCCGACTGGGGTCAAATGTTGACCCTCTGCCTCGATGGAGAAGTCTCTGCTTTCTTCCCCACCTGCAGAGCGGGCCCAATTCCAACCTCCCCGTGCAGCCGCTGTAGGTGTCAAGGAGAATGTGTATAAAGGATTCTGCAAATGAGAGTGCTCATTAGGGGTCAATATCCTCCCTCTTCACCCTCACTGACCCCAAGGGGGGAGGAAGAGAGAAAAAGGCTGATAAAGACACAAGCTGGATCAACTTCCACCTCTGTTTTCTCCTTTCCCCCAAAGCTCCTGTAAGGTGAGCAGTGTTCCTTTTATTGAGGAGGATGAGGGTTCAGAGGTGAAGGGACTTGCCCGAGGCCACACATCAGTGCCACAGCAGGACATGGACTCAGGTCTGCTCTCCCACCTTGCGTCCCTCATGCACATGACCGCAGGCCCTGGAGGCACGAAACGGAGGCCCGAGGGGAAGCTGCTTGCCTAAGAAACCCTACGGGTTTCTAAGGCCCTGCTTCCAGCTCCTCTTGGGGGTCACTCCCTCCAGGGATGCCCAGGGCCTGCCACCCACACTCCCACACATCTGGACCAGAGAGCCCACACAGAGCCTCCCAGATGCCACCCCAACCTGGGGACCGTGACTCAGCAGAGCCTCACGTGCTTTGCGTCCCCCAAATGTCCTGTGGGGGAGGCCAGCAGAGCCTCTCAGAGAATGAGGGAGGGAATGCCACGTCCTCCAGGCCTTTCTAGACCACCCTGGCCTTTGCACAGGTCCTCACCCTTCTCGAAACACCCCTCTAGCCACTGCTGCCCTGAAATACACACAGCCAGGTGGGTGGGGCGGCCCTTACTCTTCTCGTTTTACAATAAGGGAACCCAGAGAGGCCGAGCAATTAGATTGAGGTCCCACCATAAAGGAGGGGCTGAGCTCAAATCAGGATCCTTGCTCCTGGTGCTTCTGATGGGAACTGGAGGAGGTGGGTGGAGGACCACGGGAGGGGGAGGGGCTTTAGAATTGCGGGCTTCCACCGGGCATTCCCCACAGCAGGCTGTTTCCCCTTCTCTGAGCCTCAGTGTGCTCATCTCTAAAATGGGAGTGAGGAGACTGGCCCTGGCACCTGCAAACCCTCCCTTGTCTTATTCTCAGGCTGCTGCCGGGTAAGCTGGGAAGCAGCTAGAAAAACAAGTCCATCATTCCTCCCCCCAGTGGCTGCCCAAGTCCCAAGGAGAGAAGGTGTCTTGAACCAAGGCCAGGAGGGCGCTGCTGGAGTTCAGTGCCAGGAGTCTCTGGAAGGTGCCAAATGAACTTGAATCTTCAACTCCAGAGCTTCAGAAAGCAAGCCCGGCAAGGAAAACACGGGGCCGGGAAAAAGCCTCAATGGGGAGGGTAGAGCCCAGCACATTCCTGGCTCTGCTGCTAACTGGCCGTGTGGCCTTGACCCGAGCCTTCCTCCCCTCTGTGCGATGAGGCGACCTTTCAGGCCCTCCAGCTCTAAGTGTTGGAAACAGCTTTCACAGAGTTCTTTCCCTCGAGGCAGAGGAAGGAAGAGACATTTTTCAACAAGTTAGGAAAATCTTGCACAGGAGTTAGATTCCCCAGAGGGGCCCCGACTGAGGACAGAGCCACTGCCCCAGGAGGTGCCGGCCACCCTGAGGGCTCAGGCCAGCCTAGGCCACCAGCGGCCCCGAGAGCAGTGAGGTCTCGGCCACCAGCAGTGTCCAGGCAGGGGCTGGAGGGCGACCAGCAGGAGCAATGGTGAGACCTCTATGGTCCTCTGTTAGGAGATTCTAGAACTCAGCATTTCCTCTCCTGAGATTCCTCCCACCTCCAGCAGTGTAGAAACTTCCTGGCCCCCGCTTCGTCCCCAGGAGAGGACTCAGGAGCCATCTCCCTGTGGATGCCTAGTGGAGGGGGCTTCCTCCTGGCCCTGGGAGCTGGAGGCGGGGCAGAATGGTGGTGCATCCTGGTTTAGAGCACTCGTTTGAAACTAGGCAGCGCTGGGTTCAAACCCCAACTCTGCCACTTGACTGCGCAAGTAACTTGATGTCCTGGCGCCTCAGTTTTCACCCCTCTAAAATGGGGATATTAAGCTTCATTAGATGAGACAGAGCAGTGTCAAGGGCTTAGCATGAAATGGCAGCTGCTGTGACAGCTGAGGCAGGCGGCAGCTGTTTGGAACGATCAGCGGGCCCCAGGAGAGCTGCAGAGGGAGGGGTGCTGGGGGAGGGGCACTGTTGATGTCTATAAGGGTTTCTGGGGAACTGGAGAGGCCCTGAGAAGCTAGCTGTCCTTCTGTTCAGCAATGCACATGTTGGCTCATGGACAGAGCCTTGGGCATGTGGGGGAGCTAGTGCCTGGGCATGGATGTGGGTGGCTATGTCACCAGTCACCTCTGCAGATGCCACCCCATACAGATGCTAGGTGCTTGTTAGCACGTAGCTATGGGAACACATACGTAGGTCCTCATGCATCAGAGCTGAAAAAGCCTTTAGACTTGGCTCTACTCTCACATTTTACAGATGGAAAGACTGAGGCCCACATGGGGGGACTGAGGGCAAAACAGGAAAGGGTCCCAGCCATCCTTACTCCCCATCCTTCCATTGAGCATTACTCCCCAGGGACCACCTACCCACTGGGACACCTACCTACTGCATCGGGCTCTGGCTCAGTGCCCAGGTACCGCCCCTGGGAACGAGAATCCACCAGCTGGAACCTCTTAGATTCCAGGTTCTCCAGCACCTGCTCGTAGGTCTTGAGCAGGGAGCGGTCCAGTGTGGCTTTGAAGACGGCGGGCTCTGGGCATGAGGGCTCAGATGTCACCGGGTGGCCTTCCTTCAGCCAGTTCCGGAAGCCGCCATTGAGCACCGACACGGTGCGGTGGCCAAACACACGGAACATCCACCAGACCCGCGGCGCGTAGAAGCTGCCCAGGTGGTCACCATCATACACGACCACGTGCGTGTCGTTGCTGACGCCCAGGCGGCCCACGTAGTCAGCGAAGCCCGCCTCGCTGGGCAGCATCATCTCGTAGGGCGACGCCGTGTTCCGGCACTCCTCTATGTCAAAAAAGGAGGCGCCCGGCACATGGCGCTCCAGGTACTCCTTGCGGGCCTCGCGGGTGCCCGGGGAGTACCAGGACGCGTCCAGCACCCGCAGGCTGGGCCCCAGCTTGCCAGCCCGGACCGACTCCGCCAGCCACTTGGAGGACACCAGCGCCCGGTAGAGCACCTGATGAACCATGGTTTCAGCTCTGCGCGTCACCTGGCGCGGACGGGAACCGGGAAAGAGACGGGCATGAAGACTGTGTGTGCAGCGAAGTGGGGCCTGGAGGAGGAGCTTCTTTCCTACCGCACTTGTTTACAGCAACCCCGCGGGGCTGGGGGGTGCAGTGGGGTAGGGTCAAAGATTCCCCAAGAAAAGCCTGCTCCGCCCCTCCCTGGGGCCCTCCCGCGCAGAAGGGGGTGGGGCATGCGCTTCTGAGGGTTTTAGTCCGGGAGCTGGCTGGGAGGGCGGCTGGCCCTAGAAGCTACAATATTCGCCCTCGGGATCCTGCCAGAAAAGAGCAGCGAAAAGATGCCCAAGATGGGGGGAGATGGCTTCTTGGGCCTAGAGCCCCCTTTCCTGGGAGAGCAGGGGAAGGGGCGCATGGGGGAGGGTCCGCGCCTCTCGCAAACCCTCCTGCCGCCTCGTAGCAGCATGCGCTCGCCCCTCCAGAATGCCCAAGTCCAGCCCCGGCGCGGTGCCCTCTGCCCCAGTTGGGTCCGGGGTTCCCGGGACACCCCGCCCCGCTGTCGTTACGGGGACCCCGCCCTGGGTCGCAGGTGGCCCGGCCGGCGGCCCAATCCCGAGCGGCCCGGAGCCTGGCCGCCGCCCCCACCCCGCCGCACTCACTCGCCCTCGCCGCCGCCCTGGCGCTCGCCCTGCCCGCTGGAGAAGTTGGCCAGTTCAAAGCCAGAGCCAGCAACAACCCGGCCGGCCCACACCATCGCGCCGCCGCCCGAGGGGGGACCGCGCGCCGCCCGC